ATGACCCCTAACCTAGCATGACCATTATAAAGACTATGATCCTGACCCTATATGCTCATGTTGATGGATCAGCATATTAAAGGGCACACCTGGAAAGCTGATGAAGATTCTATTGAGATCCTCCCCGCAAGACTTCCCTTAAAATTCCTGCTTTAGAAAAGAGATAAAGACACCTAAGACAAAGGACCCAGTGTGCGCTCTCAAGAGCACACACACACCTTCTTTCTTCAGGCATGCATATTTGCTTTCTCTCTCCAAAGCTCTAAGGCAGTGGTTCCCAAACTTATTTGGCCTACAGCCCCCTTTCCAGAAAAAATATTACTTAGCCCCTGGAAATTAATTTTTTTAAAATTTTAATAGCAGTTACTCATTGCCCCCAAATGCACCTGTGGCCATCACCGCCCCCCTGGATCGCTGCAGCACCTACCAGGGGGCGGTAGCGCCCACTTTGGGAATCACTGCTCTAAGGGTTCCCATGAGGCTTGCAACCAGGAGAGCAGTGGGCAGCAGAGCTTGGCCTGGGCTAGCCCGGTCGGTGAATGTGTGTCCAAAGGCCCTTCTTTTGCCTATGTAACTTGTTGCCCGAGTCTACACAGCCCAGCTGGCTCACTTCTTCTGCCTCTGTGACTTTCCAAAAGGCCAAGGCAGCTCTCTGAGCAGCCAGCTCAATTTTCTTGGAGTGTACTTTTGCTTTACATGCTAAATAAACTTCCACAATGCTAGAGTTCTTGGCTCTGAATTCTTTCTTTGCCAAACTCAAGAACCGAGAGGCAACATTGCCAGTAACACCTTTATCTCTACTTACTGATATCATAATCATCTTTCTAGTTCTGCCTCAAATTCTTCCTCCAGTGAGATGCTGTTTCTTAATCACACCAACCAAATGACACTCTACCTTCTTATCATATTATGAAGTTAAGTATAATTCTAATCTCTTACTGACTGCAAGTTCCTTGAGAGCAAAGACTGAGTTATTCTTCTTCCTCACAGTGCTAAGCCCTGGACATTTAAGACATGAGGTAACGCATATCTGCTTAACTCAAGCTGTGATATAGTTCTTTTTCTTTCTTTTGGGAAATGAGGTGGTGTTGGAGCATGGAAGGCATTAGTGCTCAAGGCCTGGCTCAGTGACGGGGGTGCTGCAGGAAGGCAGCTGCACTGTCAGTCTGAGGACTCACAGTCGTCGTTGGGATCTGCTTCTGTCCTGAGTCATGTCCTATAGTAATAAAGGGTCACTGTGTCAGTGGATGGTCAGATGTGGCCCCAACACATGCAGACTCCCCAAAGGGCTTCTCTAACAAAAGGCTCCAAAGTCCAGAAAGCCTTGGGTGTGGGGGAGGAGGAGGTATTTTTATTTCTGAAGCCTCCTGGCCTCAATTTTCAGACAAGCCATGTAAATATGCAGTACGTTTGGAGCTTGTATTTTGCCTACTTTCCTTCAAAGGCATACGTTTTGCTAGCCATTCCTTATAATTTAAAGAAATGTATTGAACAGAACCCAGCCTTTACCTGAAAGTCACAAAAGTCAGTCACGACCGAGAAAACGCCATTTGTTTAAATGCATGGTTACCTTGTATGAGATTTCAAAGTTTTCACCGCCCCAAATCTGGAGACCTGGATCATACAGACCCAGTTCAAAGAAGAACTCTCGTTCAATGGCAAATAATCCACCAGCCATGGCTGGGGACCTGAGAAAAAGAAACACTTGAATAACTATTAAGGATAAGCCCCTTCACCAATAGACAACAAGTCATTTTAGAATACAATCTAGATAATGCATAGAAGAGATAAAACTGATGGCCAAACATTAAGAAATTATAAAACCTTGCAAAAATGATCTGTTCATAATTCCTCAGTGAATTTACTGAAATTTCTAATTGAAATAGAATCATATAGTTCATTACAAATTAGAGCATTGCATCATTTCACCATTAGATGGAGCCTTGGTTCCTGTGTTAATTTAAAAATTAAGCCTTTAGATTTAGTAGAAGTAGCATTTTCTCTTTCACTCCTAAAAATACTGAGCCATACAGCCCTGGTTGGCTAACTGCTCCTGCAATGATTCATGAGTCATTATGGGATGAGCAAAACCATACACCATGGAAGTAGTCTGTCGTTTTTTAATTTTATAGCTCAGGGGCTTGCCAAATAAGGGTGTAATTCATCTTAGAACAGTCACAGTTCATTCAGAGTTTGCAAATACAGCGCAGAAGTGACACCGAAGAATTAGACATAGCCACTTACTGTGCCAGGGGGAGGCCTGCAGAAGGGCGATCGGTGCGGCCTCTTTAATTTGGTATTTTTTAGGGACAAGATAAAAACAATTGGGTAGCTTTATAGGGACAAGCCACTCACATCATTAGATGAGATATGGGACTAATTTATATCCTGTTGCCTGTATCCCCCACCCCGAATAATTATTTTTTCCGAATAATTAATTATTAATGCATCATGATTCTTGAGATGCCTCTATTAAAGTACCTTTTTAAAAAATCACCACACCTAATATTCAATCTACCAATAATTCCTATTAATTCTACCTTGAAAACATATCTTGAATCTGTCTACTTCTTTCCAACTTCACTGTTCCCTTCCTGGACCAACTGCTTGGACTGTTGCAGTAACTTTGTCACTTGTGTCCTTTATTCTCTTCTGCCCCCGCCCAAGTCTAACCGCACCACAGGCAGAAAGGACTCAACATGGGTCCCACATGCCAGCTCTCTCCACTCTGAGGCTCTGCTGGCTCCCTGGTCCTGAGTTCTCCTTCCCTGCTCCCCTCATGCCTTCAACTTGCCAAACTCTCTTCTGACTCAGGGCTTTCACCTGTGCTGTTCACTCTCCTGAAATGTTTCCCCTCCTCCTCCATAAGGTTAATCCCTCATCCTTCAGGTCTCAGCTCCGGTGACACTTTGTCAAGAGGCCGTTCCGGATCCTCCAGGCTGGATGAGGTTATCCTTTCCATCAACTCTGTTCCAGAGTTATATATGTAGTTTTCTGTTTAACTTCTGTCTCACCCGCTATATAAGTGAAACAAGGGAACCTATCTTTTAAAAATTTATTCCCAGAAAATAGTGCCTGGCACATAGTAAGTACTCATTAAATATTTGTCGAGTGGATAAATAATGAATCAAGTAATTTTTTCAATGTTAAAGAAAAATCACATTGGATCAACATTATTCTGTCATACCCTTTCTTCTTAGAGTATGCTGCCTAACTCACTAAATATTAGCACTATTACATTTTTGGTTATATTTTCATGTCACATTTATTTAACTGTCATTTAAAATTATTATAACTCTGCCTTTTTGATCTTTAAATATATTCTCATTTATCTCAGCATATATTTGAAAATGCATCTTAACATAAAAACCAGTGAGTTCTTTCAAGGGGAAACCTCCCTTAAATTTTTCTAACCTACTTAAAGAAATTTTTTTTACTAGTCTATGGAATTGTCAGAAATAAAAACATAATCATTACCCCTTATTTTTTTTCTCCCAGGATTATATTAGTCAGGTAAGCAGGTAAACAGTAAGTTCCTGAATTATTCTAAAAAAGAACTTCAAAGGAAAATTGGGAAAATGTCAAATCAAGCTTAAAGTTCTATAATTTCCTTATGTTTGCCATTTCAGTATCTTGATATTGTGACATGCCCAAATCCCACCAGCATTTGCATGACAGTGGAAACATCTTTCCAAAACAGAGTTCTAACATTATCAGTAGTATAACAGGGAGAGAGAGATCAAAAGCAGAACCGTAAGATCAGAAAAATAAGATTAGGCACATTTAGAAGCCTACACTAACATTTGACTAAACATTTCATTTGGAGTCACTCTTTAGAAAGACAGTCAAATGTTGCAGTTAAAAGACCCTAAAAGCACAGAACAGCGTACACTGTTCTATTAGAAGAGTCACAGGAAGGACAAAGGCTGATTCTGGAATACAGTTTCCTTTTTATCAAGTGCTCTTCTGAGAAGGCAACAATAAAGGAGTGTATGCAACATTTGCCAGTCATGTATTTTGATTCATCAGATTTAACTGGTACAAAATTAGCATATAAAACAAAAGGAAGAAAAAAACAAAACACCTCAATCTCTTGCTATTGCTTTCATTGCTAACATTACATCCAAGGCATCAACTCGGATATAAAACTTGGATTACAGGTAATTTATGCATTGTAAATTTACATAATGATTGTTCTTTTTTTGCTTGAATTTGGAACTAATGCCATATAACATTCCCCTTTCACCCTGCTCCCCCAAAATAAAAAGTGGCACCTGCATTTAGGGAAAAACCAATTACAAAGAAGTGAATGTGAATTTAAACCTGTGAAATAGTGTGAGAAAGAAGTCTTCAGAATCTAAGACAGCACCTACGGTTTTAATAACAAATGTTATAGCTTGGCAAGAGGTTAATAGGTTAGCAGCAAATGGAGAAAAGAAACACATGTAAGTGATTTAGTGATTACCGATATGGTTCAGTTTTTGTCTTTCTGATTCTCTTCTCTTGAGGGGTCAGAGGCACCCGTTTCCAGAGCATACTCCAATCCCATGCTCCTCGGGCATACCCATCTTCGTCACCACCCCCTTGGGGTACAATTTCGTATGTGTTGCCATTTATGACATCTATAATCGGCACAGTGCAAATGGTTCTGTATTTTGTTGATGATAGCAGCAAAGATGAAATGGAAGGGTATGCATGGACCCACATATATATACATGAGTACATGGGGAAGGAAAAAAAAAAGGACTTAAATAAACATTCCACATAAGAAAATAAAGGAGTAATCTTTACCGATAAGGTTCAGTTTTATGTTTTCTTTTGGCCTTTTCCTTGTGGCTTAGAGGAATACGTTTCCATAGTAAACTCCAGTCCCAGGCCCCTCTGGCAAAACCATCTTCATCCCCACCTTGCTGTGGTTCAATGGAATAATCATTCCCATCTATGTAATCTATTAGAGGCACAGTACATGTAGTTCTGAAACATTTACAGAAAATGAAAAAGCATTTAAGAACCCAAAACTGACTAGTATAGCATGCCTCGCTAAATTATCTCTTTTTGTCACTGATTTGGGTTTTAGTTGTTGTGGGGTTTTTTTTGTGTTTTTTTTGGGGGGGAGGTCTGTTTGTTTATTTTTTTGCACTGGGGACTTAAATATCTAATGGGAAGTAGAAGTAAATCAATGGCCTTTAAAAGTCAAAGAGCCCATTTTCATAAGGAAAGGAAAAAGGAAGGAGGAGACTTATCCCTCAGCTCACAGACAAATGTCAGGGACAAAGAGCCATGTCTTTTAGCTTAAATAGTGTTGTCTCATTTTCACTTTGGTCCTACAGGCAACTTTTTCTTCGTAATTTTGTATTGCTTACAAGATTTTCCTGCCTGTTACTTTTCCTCCATAATCCTCCATTATAAAATAAGTGTGTGTGTGTGTGCATGTGTCTGTATAAAAGGATAATACTGCTACATTTTTTTAGCAGTTCTCCCAACTCTTTGTTGCTTTCTATTTCTTTGGAAGCAGTTATGAAAACCTGTTTCTGTACTTTTTCTTGATCATTTTTTCCTACTTCTTTTTATTGCAACAAACAGTTTTCATTGCAAAGAAAAAAAAAAGAGTACTCTATTGTATTCCTACCCTTTAAAAATATGAGAAAAAAAGATCATTCAAAACCTAAAGAATTTAAGTGTTGCCTGAGAATTTGGAGTAAAAAAATCCCTTGCATTTGACTTTAGGAAAATGCTAGTACTATATGACTAGGTGCAGAGTCAACTCTACAAAGATAATCTGTTCCCCTGCTTGTTTTATTGCTCATTTTATTAGAGAGGATTGAAAATGCACTTCCTAAAATGGAGATTACAGTGCCTTTTCAATGTTTAGAAACCAAGGAGAAGGGAAAAACGTTAGGGGCTTAAAATTTTGATATGGTAGAAGTGGACTTGAGAAGGGTGTGTTATTCCCTCTGGAATCACTCCTATGAGACAGTGGAGGGTCGCTGTGGGATCTGTGGCATTCACAAAATCCTGTGGAAAACCATTTCCTTACTGCCCTAGAAGACTGCTAATTTCCACCTGCAGAGGTGAAGGTTGGTTCTCTTTCCTCACTTCGCCTGAGTCTCAGATTTCTTAATAAATGGTGCCGTGTAAGATGTCCCAGAGAGATCTCGGTTTGACAGTTGATTAGCTGTCTGATTTGGGACAAATTAATTAACTTCTCTAAGCCTCGGTATCCTCTTCAGTACAATGGAGCTAATAATACCTATTCTGCAGGGGTGCTGTGAGGATTAAACCAGACAGCTGGTTTAAAAATGGAAAAATCTCTATGTATTCTAGATATATATAAGCCTAAGCGACCGTTATGACCGGTTGACTGAACAACTGGTCAACTGGTCACTATGACACGCAAGGATCACCAGGGGGCAGATGCTCTATGCAGGAGCTGGCCCCTGGTGGTCAGTGTGCTCCCACAGCAGGAGTGCTACTCAGCCAGAAGCCGGACTCATGGCTGGCGAGTGAAGTTGCAGTGGTGGGAGCCTCTCCTGCCTCAGCAGCAGTGCTACCGAGCAGTGGCGGTGGCGAAAGGCACAGCGGGGCCTGGCTCTGGCTCGGGATCCTCCCCAGACACCTGCTACTTGGCACTGCCACATCCCTCAGGGGATGTTGGATTTCAAGAGGGTGCAGGCCAGACTGAGGGACCACCTGTGCACGAATCCGTGCACTGGGCCTCTAGTTGTTTATAATAAGCCTTACATTACATCTTGTGATGATTCAATCCTCCAGAGGGGGTCCTTTGAAACATGCCATTCACCATAGGGCCATGTCTTATTTGCCTAGATTCCAAAATAGTCACAATTCTGGACTAAAGACAGGGAAGTCTTTTGGAACCAGGAGACGAATGCTGCCTCCTTTTGTTTCAGATATTTCTGTGAATTTGATGGGGATCACCACATTTCCATTGAATAGCTGCCCATTTCTAAACTTAAAGTTTCTATAGGATCCCAAAGCCTTGACACAAGTAAAACTGCTCCTTACTATCTTGAGTAATAATTAAAAAACCAATACGTATAATTTCAAGGCTTGTTCCTTCAAATCTTTAGAATTGTTATGGTGGTGTAGGGGGAGCAATCAATATTACTCTTAGAGAAAGCTTTTGGAGCTGAGGCAGTCTCTCAACCACAGATGATTCTTGAATCAGACACTCTAGGCTTATCCCAAATGCCCAACTGCCTGCATTTGAATCAGCCCGAAGTATCAGTCTATCTCCACCCCGGGAAACAACTGGCTGAGTGATAGCACTCAGAACAGAACACTTCATGTGTTGACTGGAACTGAAATTTGATGAATGAGAATGTTATTTGTCCTAGGGTGAGGTTTACTTTTCAACCAGGAAAGCAAAAAAGCAAGGTGATGTTACCTGTCCTTAGAAATGGGGGCTACAAGTGGTGCATACCAGTTAACTGCCACCTCACAGTGGGCATCAAGGTATATCAAAACCTTAAAAAAAAAGAAGCAGGGTGAAGAACACTCATATGGCACATCATATATCACACACAATTTAAAGTTAGATACCAACATAAGTTAGCATTAGAGTCATTTTTAACATATAAGTTTATCTGTTTAGGCCAGCATTTCAATTTTTTAAAAAAGTACTTAAAATGAATATGATTGTTTAGTTACCAAATCCAAAATGATGACATTGTAAATATCAATAAGAAGAAATATTTCCTACCTGCCCAAGTTTAGCCTTCTGGGCACCAATACTTCGTGCTTGAATTAAACCTTCTCTTCTCTCATTTCGAAATACCTTTACTAGGCCATTCCACAGCTTAATATAGTCATCTAGCTTTTTTTTTAAGTGTTCTGTGAATAAAAAAATTCAATCAGCATTATAAATTATATGTATGTATCTAAACCAATTAAACTATTATTTTTTGCAAGAAATAGAGACAGACAAAAGTACTTTAAGCAGTCAATGATTTTACACAGACCAGATTAAATGTTTAATCTATAGGGAAATAAGGTAGAGGTATTCTCTGAGTTAAATTTTGAGCTTAATACATGCTGGCCAGTGTGGCTCAGTTGGTTGACATCGTCCCATGTATCAGAAGGTCGCAAGTTCCCAGTCAGGGCATGTGCCGGGGTTGTAAGCTCAATCCCCAGTAGGGGGCGTGCAGGAGGCAGCCCATTGATGTGATTGATGTTTCTCCCTTTCCCTCCCTCTCTCTCTACAAATCAATAAAACAGTTAAAAAAATTAAAAAACATTTTTGAACTTAATATGCCTTCAGAGAACTGGTTAGCATGAGAAAGATCAAACATCTCTCTGAAAATTAAATAAATGATAACTATGCCAATTAAAATAAAAACTTAAAAAACGTTTTAAATTTAAAAAATTAAAAACTCAAAACTGCACATGTTAATGTCATATTTAAAAGCTTTCAGGCAAGATATTTTGTTTGCTTTTGGCAGAAGCAATAGTTCAGGATTTCTGAAGATACACTGCTTATAAATAGCATTGTATGACTTCTTTGGAATCCACAAAGGATATAGGTAACCATTTGTTTCTGGGCCATCTTTCTCCAAGTATAATCCATATCTAAGGTTGCAGTCTTGGTGTAATGAATACAGTTCCCATCAAGTTGGTAAAAAACAATTGAGAGTCCCATTTTCTCTGCATTTTAAGCACCAACAGGAGTATTTATATATGAATGTATGTATATTTACAAATAAGTATTTATACATTTATGTAATATATACACATTTATATAATATACTAGAGGCCTGGTGCACAAAAATTTGTGCACTCGGGGGGCATCCCTCAGCCCAGCCTGCCCCCTCTAATAGTCTGGGAGCCCTCACAGGATGTCCTACTGATGTCCCTGTGGGAAGCAGGCCTAAGCCGCAGTCTGGCCTCCCTCTGTGGAAGGCAACTGGCCAATCAGGTATATAGATACTTTCTGAAGGCAGCACAGACTCCTTCCTTATTTCTTTCCTCTGTGGTTGGAGAATAGGGGACTAAAAGGTAGAGACAGAACTGTGGCTGGGCCTGGGGCTCTTGTAGGCAGCAGAAAGAAGGAGAGGGCTGGGGCAAGTCTAGACACGGTTTTCTTCAATTGTCCTCTCTTCCTCCAGGCCCCTCGCTCTGTTCTTTCCTTGTCATGATGGACGCTTGGGCCTTGGACTGACAGGAGCCCAGCGATGGTGGAGTTCAGCCCCCTTACTTCTCAGCTGAACATACAACTGCCTCACATTCCAAGTGGAGCTGTTTTCAAGTGGCTAAAGTGCTGGCAATTCATGCCTCCCGGCCTTTCCCCTCTCAGGTTTCCTCCTTGGGTCAGTTGCAAACTTCACCAAGACACTGAAGCAACTCTGCCCTGGTTGTTCTGCACCAGCCCCTGCCCAGGCCCAGCTGGGCACTCTTCCTTGAGGTCTCTGGGTCCACAGTCTGAGCTCAGGGAGGTCACCCAGAGCCCGTTCCCCCAGACAGGTGGGGCAGGGGGGCTAGCTTGAAGAGCTGGAGGAAGATGGCAGAGTAAGAGTTGGTATGAACCAGCGCCTGCTTAGCCAGACTTCCTAAGCTCCCCACCGGGCCCAGGCTGGGCCCCTTCCCCACACCAGGAGGATCCCAGCTGAGGTCCCCACCCTGCACCCAGCGCTCTCCTCCCTGTTCTACCACTGGGGGAAGGGAACAGCTCACCTGCTCTGGACCCTGCCAACCTGGCAGGCTGAGGCACAGGCCAGGCGGTACAGCCTAGGGTGCTGGTGGCTGCGAGCCTTCTCCCCCTCCCTGAAGCATGGGGCCGGGTTGCAGCAGCTCACAGCCGCCCCTGGGCACCATGCATGGAGATACCGCTCTCCACTGAGCCACTGTCAGCCCAGGACCTGTGGGGGTTGGGGTGGCCTCGGGCTCCCACTGGCCCCACTGAAGCCAGACTCGGCTTGGCCGGACACCCCCACCGCCGGAGGACTGCGCATGCCCCACGGGCCTCATCGCCCTCATGAATCCCCATGGTCTGGCCATCCCATCCCAGGAAGTGGCCATCCTGATCGCTATGGCTCACTCCCCGGTGCAGTTGGGCCTGCCCAGCAAGCATGTAGGCAGGAGCTGAGGAGGGATGCGGGCCAGGGAAGAAGTGGGGAACTTGGCGGTGTAAACACAGCCCCCCCCCCTCCCCTTGGCCCCCGACTTCGTGGCGGCCCCTAGCGCTGCATTCCCGAAACTTCTGGGTGCCCCTGCCCAGCACTGTGCTCTCGGGCCTGGGGGTGGGGATGAGGCTGAGGCAGTCTCGCTGGCTTGGATCGCAGGGGTCGATCAGGAGGATGTGGGGGCAAATCACCTCTCTTCTCTCTTCCTCTCTCTCTCTCTCTCCCGAAGATGAGAGGCCTTGTCCCGCAGCGCGGCTAGCACGTCACATTTATCTCCCTGTCTCAAGCGGGGTGT